TCTTATCAAAGAAAACTATCTTTTCTAAAAAAAAAAATCATTCAATTTTCTTTTATAGTACGTACCCAGTAGAGGGCGGCTTGTAGCTGTGGAAGGAAGTATGTGTGATAACGTCGTCAGAACTCCCATTGTCGCTGCAACAGCTGTGATTCCTATTGCTGCTCGTGCTGATGACGTAGGAGGTATCCAAAAGGTGAGCAAACTGAGGAACAGGCTAAATACTGCTGGAGTTAGTATGCAAACAGCTAAAGATGGTGTTTGTCGTTCAATAACAAGAGTAAAAACGACGACAGGATAGTAGGAATCTGAAATAATTATGTTAACGTTTTAATTATTTTTCTACAAATAATTCAGGTTACTCGTAAAGTATCATTACAAATTTAACAATTATTAGCTGTGCATAATAAACAAACTTTAGCATTATTTTATTCCCATGTTTTTACCATTTGAGTCATGAATACACTTTCAGCCCCTTCTATACAAAAACATAAATCGAACTGAGCTTAATTTCTATGGATTTAAAAACTCAACAGCAAAGCAACCTTTGTATAGTCTGCTTTTCACTTCTTGACGTAGATCAGTGGTTCCCAGACTTTTGGCAATCACGGGCTGGTAAAATTCCCCAAAAAATTTCGGGGACCGACATTCCAAATAAAATATCTGGTAATTACATAAGTAGAATAATACAATATTTACAACAACAACAAAAAAAAACATTATTTGAAAGCATAAAATAAACTTTCTAATTTGCTTAGGCAGCTTTTAGTCATCAGATATTGAAGAAGAAAAAAAACGTAAATAAGTGTCAGTGCTTTCAACAGCCAAGACATGTAGTGAAACCGTAGAAATTATTTCAGGGACCATTGTACCGATCCGCAGATCGACTTTTGGGAAACACTGACGTAGATAACTTGACCAAAACTTTAACATTCTTATCTTCATATTTACCCGTAACGTTAACCGAAGATTTCCAAAAATCTGTATCGACCATGAGTGAAAGAGACAGAAGTAAATACAAAGATGAAAGTATTATGCATCGTGTAAACCATATACCGTCGTCTTAGACGAATCTTAATAGTTCACAATCTTTCTAAGTTTTATAGACTATATCTTATATCTCATATTTAATATTTTCAATCGTGATTTCCAAAACCTTAATTAAACAGGGATTTTAAAGTTCTACTATCTTAAAAATTTTTATAACAAAACCTAGATCTGGTTGTTTGGACGCTCGACTCGCAGTCCTTGACCCCCCCCCCCCGGTAAGAAAATAGTAAATTTGCGAGCTTACGACGCTAAAATCCGGGGTTCGATTCTCAGCGGTGGACACGCCACATAACCCAATGTGGCTTTGTTCTAAAACAAACAATCGCGTTCTGTGGGTCGCGGATTTGAGTCACATTACATAACATGTCCGCCTTTTCGGTAGTGGGGATGTTACAATGTGACGGTCAATCCCATTATTCGATTAGAGTAGCCCAAGATTGGTGTCGACTATCTGCCTTCTCTAGAGCTTATCACTTCTAAATTGGGAACGGCTAGCGCAAAATTCAACAAATACCCAAAGAAGCTATTGTTGTATTAAAGATTCTACAGTAGACAAAATGTTTGGTAACAGAAGTTAATAACAGTTAACAACTGTTGGTCTCAAAATGAAGCATGTACATTACATGTGTTTTGTATCCTTGTGCCGTGAATACATATACAACTGAAAGGCATATAAATAAAGAAGCGTGCAGATTTTAATGCAAAACAAATTATGAACGAGGAATGAAAAAACAGAATACCTTAGAAATTCAATGGATTAGCAGTGGCTTAGTTACTGCATTTTTCTTTAGGTCTCTAATTTATTAGATACCGTATTCTTCTTTCACTTTATATTTTCTTAGATACCGTATTCTTCAGTTTATATTGTTACATCTCTGGTCGTTTGTTAATTTCCCGTATAATTTCTTTCGGATGAAACTTTAGCGATACAAGTCCTTTCTTAAATAAAATAGTTTATTCTTTCTCAATACAACTTTGCAAAACACTTAATTTCCACAGTCACTTTAACTTAAACACACGCTATAATTCACAACGATTCACGCACTTTACTTACGGTAACTACCGCGCTGGACTCAATTGTCCGTCTCTATCTCTGCCTGTCTGCAATTCAATTAATTATCTCGCTTTATTTGCCTGCTTATATACAGGAATAGAGGGCGTCTAGCAAATACTGGATTATTCGTGATGTTCCCCGATCCTTCTAGATACTCATTACGTGTCGTAACAATATTTTCTTAGATACCGTATTCTTTTTTAGGTCTATATTTTCCTAGAAATTGTATTCTTCTTTAGGCCTATATTTCCTTATATACTGTATTCTTCATTAGGCCTATATTTCTTTATATACTGTATTCTTCTTTATGCCTATATTTCCTTATATACTGTATTTTTCTTTAGGCCTATATTTCCTTATATACTGTATTCTTCTTTAGACCTATACTTCTTTATATATTGTATTTTTCTTTAGGCCTATATTTCCTTATATACTGTATTCTTCTTTAGGTCTAGATTTCCAACTTGCCATTATTGTATGATGTACATACATACTACCAGTGGCTCAGGTTGGGTATGGTTTATAATATTAGTAAAAGTTGAACCCATTAAAATTAAAGTTTAATGTTATTGTAGTTACCCTATAATGACATTGCTAGTGTTATTTCACGTGATTACTTTTACCCAAGTCATGTGTTTTGAACAAAGAACATTACTTTTGTTGGATTCACGCTATTACATAATTAAGATATAACTGAAGCACAAAGTTAAGTTCTAAAAATTAAGTAGATGTCCAATTTGACTCATTTTTTTAGCGGAAACTTAAACAGCAGCAATATCTTTATTCTCCAAATTGTAGTTGAATATTTTATTACTGTATAATTTGGTTATTATGGGAGACAAGCCAAAATGCTAAAAATGTCATCTATAGTCTTTTATTTGTAGAATTTTGTTGTGATGTGAGTTTTATTCAAACTCAACTATTTACAATAGCTATTGTAGTAACAATATAGGGATTATTCTGTAAAATGATTTTACTTTTCAATATATGGGAAAGCTTAATATGAATTTCGTGTGCTTTTGGATTACTAAGCTAGTATGCCAAATTTGGTCTGGATCACTCAACTCGTTTAATAGGAGATGCGCCCACAGACAGACAGAAAGATTTCCTTGATATTGAATATTTACCGAACCAGTATGGCTTAACATGTATAGCACACAGGTGAAGAACGCCTGCACACCAATTTTTATACTCAGCTTTACTTCGCTTTGCTCGGCAGAGTTGGATAAAGATTTGTTATTTCAAAACTAAGAGATTTTTATGAGACTTAAGGTAGTAATGTTTAAAAATATTGCATCTTACTTGAAAACGTGTAATCCAAGCGCCGCGTTTCGGTCTTCGTGTCTACAAGTTTCCAACGAAGGTTTTTAGTATAGTTTGCCAAGTAAACAGCTTCGTCTGTAATATTTGCCCAGAAAACATTTTGCATGTTCAATACGTCACCCTATAAAATATATATATATAGAAATGTGAAAGACAATATTAGTAGCTTAATCTAGTGTAGATCACACTGGAACTAATATATATATATATGTATAGAA